TCTGCAGTGTGTGAACATGCATTAGGGGGACCAAACCACTCACTACATTAGATTTGATAGACCACAGATCCTTGCAGCTGAGCGGCGGTTCGTTCCTCGAATGATGCGCGAGGCTATTGAGATTAAAAAATATCCAAATTTCAATAGGGAAGATGGTTGGTATATACCACCAGCTTGGGAACCTATTATACAGGAGATAAAATCCCAACCCCGAGCACACACTGCAAGACCATCACATACTATTAGTTCTTTTTGTTTGCATAATTTAACATAAGAAGGAGATAGAAAGCCTCTCTTGAGTTTGTTTCGCCGGTTCTTCTCAGAAAGGTGTCCCAATTTTGGAACCGGTGGAAGTTTACGGTAGTTAGGGTCAAATAAATAAAAAATTACAAAAAAGAATTTTAAATAAAATACTTTATTAAGTAAATTAAATGATAAATTCATACATAGACAATAAAACTTAAAAATCGAACAATGAAGTAACCAAACGCTCAATAAAAGTCTTTAGAAGGTAGCTCGACAAATTAAATAAAAGTTTTATTCTGACGACGAAGCCTGTAAAGGCTACGAAACGTCAATAAATAAATAAAGTTTCGTGCATTAACCCGTAAAAACTAGTTTTATTATTAAATAAAACTCATTAGAGTGATGTGCGTGAAAACCTAAGAAACAAATAATTTTATTAATGTCAATCCGTCATCATTGTTTGTCAAAGTTGCGCGAGATAGGATGCGCACCAAAAACGTAACGAGGTCATTCATCGAAAGATTTTACTCCTCACATTTTTCTCATACCGGGCCCCTTATATATGCAAATCGATTCTTAAGGAGTAAACTCCAAAAACGTATGTAACAATTTTGTCTTAGAATTACTTTTTCCGTCGATTCCCATAGTTAAAATGTAATAAAAAATTTCCACCCTCGCGATGGGGTGGCAACCGCCCCCAAGGCTACAGCCTTGCCGAGATAGAGCCGCGTACAGCGGCATGATATAGAAAATGATCCTTGAGCTGTTTCCTACCTTTTGTGAAAATTTTAAGTAAATCCATGGTGGACGAAAAAATTGCGAACCAAAATGCTGCATTTCCTGGACTATATTAAAAATTAAACGTTAAAGGTATTCTTGTAAAATAATTAACTTTACGCCTAATATTCATATGTCATATGCTATTAAGATACCAAATAAAATAATTTATCGATGCGGACTTACGCACATATTTTGCCCCTAGTATGAATAAGTCACTTTTATTTAAATGTTAAACACTAGTTCTGACAACTAGCAAAATTGAAAACATTGAGGATGGTTAAATTTACATAACAAATTGAGTTCATTAAATTGTCAGGAACACTTTGTTGAATGCCGTAGGCTTCATTAACATAAGAAAATTGTATAATATAGCTTGATTATACAGTAAATGTGATTAAACCTTTCACGTTCATCGTAACAGTCTCTCATTAATGCCTACTCCAAATTACGGGTTAATATTCTTAACTTTTGTCCCTAAATAAAATCTTCAATACAATTTTAAATTAAAACATAAATATGACTGGTGTTCTCGAATCAATTATTGTAAAGAGTAATTATTATATATGTTGATTGATTAATGTAATATATTCAAAATAGATAAAATTTAAGTGTTCATACTTAAAAGGATAGGAAGAAAATCACTTTAATGGAGGCTTATTCGCGTCTTTGATTATAATTTGCCGATTTTTACTTTATATCTTAATGTCAATTTGAAATTAGTAATGCAAAACAATTTTTCAGGGAAACAAATGAAATAAGTAATTACATTCCAAAGAAAACGCGGCCCATACAGCCCCGTCTTTTGTATTTTTCCTTCTTTTCTTGTTTTTTTCACATTGTAATGTGAATGGAAAGTATTTTGATGTTTTTAGGAATACTTGGAACAGAGTTCAACAAGCCCGTCTTTTCGATAAGCTTATTTTAGGCATCATTAAGTACAATTGAATTCTTACTACCACTAGAACAAAATAAGTCCATTTAAAAAATAATATTCCTTTTCGTCAACACCTCTAAAACAAAATCAATATTAAGTTCAGTGTCTATCGTCAACAACTCATAACAAAATATATCTTATATTATTTTACCTTTAGATATTAAACGTGCACGGACGAGGGACTCCTTTGCTATTAAAATTAAGGATTATTTCCTCAAGCTGGACTCTGACTGATTTATATGTTCACTACTTTGTATTGTATTTTATAGCTTCCATATACTTTCTATATTTTATTTTCCTATATTTACGTTTATTTATTTATTTTTACAATGCACAGCCTGTTGTTTCTACTATTCTTATGGTATCGCTTCATTTAGCCAAAGGTTGCCTGGTAGATATTGCTACCTTAGCAATAAGGCCGCCTTTTGTGTTTGCGTTGCTGTTTTATGTCTATTGTTTTTTTTGTAATAGTGCAATAAAGAGTATTCATTCATTCATTTTATAGAAGTGATGATGTTTTGTATCTACAATGAAATATTCGCCGCTTACCACACTCTATATAATCGCACGAAACAATACGCTTACAAATGTACTGTAAAAAATCCTTTTATTTTCGTCAGTAATGTCATTTGTTCTATAGATATGAATGTGCAGATATATGAGCAGAGCAGAAACAACCATCTCAGGGTCTAGTAAAATGATTATGCAAATATCTTGAGATATCGTATGGTGATCCTTTCCCAAGAGCAAAGTAAATGCGTTTCCATAGAAAGCGTGGACGAAAGCCCACGGAGACAACATAAAAATGGGAAGGAAATATTTAAATGATCCTAAAAAAAATGTAAATACTCACCTCAAATATACAACTGGTAAGCTAAGGATAAGGGTAAAAAGTGTACTTTGTAAAGATCAATTAGGTACTATTTTTTTGATGATCATTTAAATATGTGCCAATGAAAATGCCATCCATTGGTTGCAAGGTCCACGATAAAATCACACAACCTAGTGTCTCTAACTTATACTGGGAATAACAAACATAATATGAGCAGGCTGATTGTCAATAGGGGTTTGAATATCTTTGGTACCACATAACTTGTACCACATGTTGGTAATAACATTCAGATATTTTAACCCATTTGGACCTACCGTCTCATACACATGAAACATAATTACCTATTTTGTCATCTCAGTTTCCTGTCCTTAAAAGACATTGTTATGTTTTAAGAAGACGGTGAAACCAAAAATAATGCCATCGCTGCAAAGCAAACAATTTATCCGCGGCAAGACAATAAGATACGGCTTCAAATTTTGCTATATTAGATATATAAGGTGCTATATCAGATATATAGTAGCGTTCGGAACCATACCACGGTGCATGAACTTAACTAGACCCCAGATACGCAGAGTTGGGCCTAGCTTCCAGTCAGGTTCTAAGTTATACTGATAAAATTATAGCCAACTTGGGCTTGGAGAAAATAACCATTTGTTTATCGGCTTCTTTTTTCTGGGCCACCATTGATTGCTGAGCTGACCAAGAGAAATATACGAGTTTTACTGAAGTGATGATGTTTTGTATCAGAGAAAACAGGACTAGCAGTTGCCCTTTATTGGAAAGAGGCTAAAAATAATGAAAGAGGTTTCTTCGACTATCGTATCAGTGACGAATTGATGAAATGCAAGCGGCATTGCAACAGCATGGTGACAATTTGCTCAAATGCAATTTTTTTAACCTTTGCACAAAAACAAACGATATTAAATCTAAAGAAAATATAACTAGACAAAATTCCACGCGGACCAGGCAGCAGACGGGACTCGAACCCGCACCCTTCGCTATCCGGGCGAATGCACTGACCAATTATGCTACCGCGGCCCTGATGGCCGCGTCGAAATTCTTCTAGCCATTCTTAAGGTAGCTAGCTAGTTTTGAGACCTACTAGTTTCAAATCAGGCAGAGCTTTTTTATATGAAAACTAAATAGAAATGATAGTATTAAAATTTCACCTACCTAATTTCTCTGCCATTGCACCTATCTAAGATTTTGTATGTACAGTACATGCCTACATATTACTTGCTATAATTACAAACAAAAGATAGACCATCAAATACACTAAGGCTAAGAACTCGCAGGGTGATTTTTGTCTGCGAAAAATCAAACACCGGTGACGCAAACACCCACGCGCACTAAGGGAGAAAAAAAACACATTCTACGCGAGTTGCGGTTCCGCAGCCGTAGCGGGCGCGGAAGACTATCGCGCCGTGAGTATTTAGCCTAAAGCGTTTACTTCAAATAGAACGCTTTTCAAGCATGACGCTCGATTATTTATTTCACAACGATATCATTATACAAATCAATGAGTGAATTGGTGTAGGTAATATTACATTCAGGTAAAATAATCGCTAAAGATAACATACGAGACCAGCATTTCAAAGAAGAGTAAAAAATATATATACTTTAGTAGGAACACTATTGTCGCCATTTCCAGCGTCGAGTATTTGCAGAGACACAGCATACCTATTGTTATGTACTATCTCTGCTAATGCTTTTTTTAGCGTTTGCTTGTATTCGTAAAAACGTTACTTTACATGAAAATTCTGTAGCTTGTACTCACCTTAGGCGCTTTCCTCACCGGGTCGGTTCGGGCTCGTTTTGGTTTCGTGTCTGTACCAAATTTGTACAGATTCTTGACCGAGTGTATGTAATTAAATGAGAGATTTCTCATTTAGTCGTTTTGGTGCAGATTCTGTACAACTATCCGTACCGAGTGCTACCGAACCATTCCAGTCACCGGCCCGATGTGAAGGTACTATCACGGAACGAAACAATATCGTACCGAAACCGAGCCCATCAATAAGTGATTTTCGGTATATAATAGATTCGGACAGAAATGAAACAGGAACTAGCCCGCATCGACCCGGTGAGGACCCGAGAGCAACTTAAAGTGAATATTGCCTAATAATTTGATTGACCTTGTCTATTTCGAACTTCAATGTAAAGTGCCTCATTGATCTCACTAAAAGCGATGCTCAATTATTCACTTACCACGTGTCCTTCCGGCCAAAGGAGGTCCTCGTCTAAGCAATCGGATTTGTATAGAGATGGGTCTAGAACCCCGAGATCCGCTGTGTTCGCTGTAACAAAAGATAAAATTTTATTGTTTTAAACGTTCATGGTCAATGTTATTATAAACAAAAACTTTTTGGCACAAAAATTAAACCGCCGAAAAAGCTGCAAAGCAGAATATATTATACATGCATGTTTGATGCATCTGAGTTCCCATTTACTACTTATGTTGGCATGGCACACACAAAACTTCTACAACTCGGCATCAAAATCTGTGAGTGAGTGCACCCCTATTTTCCTAATGCCCTTTGGATATAATTTTTGTTTCCAAATTTATCTAGGACTAACTTTATCATGATCGGTGATCTGTACCGGCACGTGGAAAAACCCAAATTATGTCTCATTGACCTTAGGTAAGACCTAAATAAACATAAAAATGATTTCAAGTAACACTGTTAATTTTGCCAGTGAATGAATTAGCTTAACTTTGTTACAATTGCTTAGTCATAATGATGCGCAAATTGTCGCCGTAGTTAATTTTCCGTGGTCACGTCATTAATGTAGAAGTGTATTTATCCCTAAGGGATATAAATCTACTATATGTACGCCTCTTGACGAAAATAATATTACTTTTATTATTACCCTTACCGAAAAATTTCGGATGTCATATCATACGCACTGAGTGGATTGTATCGCTGAATTCATATGATTGAATTTAGCTATGATTTTATTTATTCACGAGATAAATAAGGGAAATAGGGAATCTAGGCAACCAAGCATTTCAATAAAATCACCGTTGATTTATGACATGGAGTGTTTGTTTTTATTTATTGCGTTTCATTTCAGTCATATTTTGATGGCTATTTATTTAAGGATATAGATACGGACTCCTATCACATGATAATTCAGTTTTACTCACTAAAGGCTAATGTCGTGTTTTGTGTAAAACATTATTTTAAATATATTAATATTATACACAATGATAAATTGTAAAGAGACGTGATGAACGTGTTGAAAAAATAAATTCACGAAATCTTGTTTCCTTTTCCCCGTCTTGTGAAATGGCATTTCGCGGAAATTTTTGCTTACGAGTACGTGAATCGTGAAATATTTCCTATATGACCTACCTATTATGAGAATAAAAAATTCCCAAGTTCATGAATTTTCATTTTTTATATCAAAATTCAAACGTATTTGTTTTCACCATTGATAGTAACTTTGATTACTTCACAGGATGTTTTTTGCATGGGAGGAGAGATAAAAGTGTGAAAGTATATTCCTCCTTATTTATGGAGGCTTTCTGTAAAGTTTGCAAACTAACTACATTTTGATATATTAACTTGTTATTATACTCAACAGAACAGTTAACGAGCATTTAATAACTTTCACAATGGGTGGCTACGAGATGGGTGATCAAAAATATAGCATCTCGAGCTCCTGCGTGATCCGTAAGGCACGCAAGGAAGGTTTTGGGTCCATCTACCTACAGTCACTAGCAATCCCTAATCTTAACTAGACTCTCCCTAATTCACCTGCACTCCTGCCAGCAGTGGGGATTTTAATAGGATGTTAATAGGTAGGTAGGATGGTGATTTGAAGTTAAAATGAGTTTTTAACCGATGAAAAAAAACGGAGGAGGCTTACACACTTTTTAAAGAGTAGACCGATTTTGATATTTTTTTTTAATTGGAAAGAGCTGTCCGAAGTTGGTCCCATATAAATTTGGAGAGAAAATTTCAACCATAAGGGTAGGAAAACAGGGGGGGGGGGGGATAAATTAATGGATTGATTAAAGTTCACACAGTGATTTTTTTTCTTTTCGGTGATTTTTTTTTTTGTTAAATATACGAAACCGTCGATTTTTTTTTAATTTTATTTACGTCTTTTATTAGTTACGTGCTTTGCTTTTATCGAAAGACGAACAAGTGATATTTAACTAGAATAGATTATTTTATCTTATTTAAGTATCTATTGGTATATCTCGTGTTCTGTTTACTAAAACATATTAAAGTTCATCTAAATGCGCCTTTTATAATACGAATACCTATAAATCTTTAACCCAAATGACTCACATGCGAAGCGGATGATTTAAGGTCAAATTTCAAATTGGAACCAATGGAACTAATTTTGTATAAAAGCTTCCTCAATTTAGATAAGATAGTCGAATTAACGTCCTACCTTAATCCGTGTTATAAATTAATAACTATTATTATCATATTAGAGGGTAAATATGAAAATCGCTGTGTCACTAGGCTAATGTACTTCAAGGATTTTACACGCAATGTTATTTTATAGCGTATGCTACACAAGGCTTTTATAGCTTAATGTGGTATTTTGCCCCTACTGTTTTGTCAGAAAAATTAAGGCGGAATTGTTGCGTTGAGAAGCAGTGAGTAATAAGTATGAATCATTAACATCGATCACTGACTTTTATGAATCAAATCTTATTAACTTATTGGAACCAATATTTCAAATAACGTGCAAAAATTTGAATAACAACCCATTACAGTAAACATCTATTTGACTTACGAATAATGAATAATTTTAAGAGCACTTGAGTAGGTCATCTATGTAAGACATTAAAATAAATAATAATAGTCCAGTCAATGAAGGCTTAACTTTGCCATTTTGAGTTGATCACCTGCAACCAACGCGAAAATTTCCGTCAGGGTTCGTAGATTAATATACTAAAATTGCCGAGTACTGCATTGACGGCAAAGGATGCAAAAAAATCGAAATGGTGCAAAAACGAGTTTTTTGTCGATATCTCGCGACTGGCTGGAAAAATAGAAAAAGTTTGTAGCACAAAGTTGTAGAAAATTTAATTTCCTACAAAAAAGGTATCAACTTATTTTCGCGTATCTCCCATAGTTTTTACACAAAATGCAATTAAAGGTGCAAAATAAAAAAAGAAAAAATATTGTTTATGGTTTTTTTTTTCCATTTTTAAACGATCCTACGGGGCAAATTCAACAATCACCAATTACTGAAATATTTAAGGATGAGTTTTCGGCAGTCCACTGAAATGAAAATTGTCTACCGAAATGGTAAAAAATTACCACCGAAATGATACAGCCAAGAACATCGCCTTTGTAGTAGAAGGGTTCCCTATTTTGAATTTAAATAAATGTCTTTATTCTTTGTAAATATTTTTGTTCATTATTTTTTAATAAGAATTATTAATGAAGAATTAATTAATTGTTACTCCTATTAAATATTATTACTAATTATAATTATTAATATGTACATTTTCAAAATAACGAACAAAGCGCGTTTAGAAGGCGAGAAGTTTATGATTATCTGCACTTTTCCGCTACTGAACTTTTATAATACCAATCGACCCGTCTCATTAAGCCGCATCTACAGGTAAAACCCATTATGCTCTACGACGCATACTTCCTGAAATAGCTAATGAATAAATAAAATAACTGCAAATTATTTCCAAAATTCTTGATTTACACCCTAATAAACCCATTCAAAACACTTAAATTTGTAAACGTATTAATTGTTGAAACCAAGTTTCGGATTTAAACTCATTTTTCATGTAGACACTTAAAATATCCTGTGAGTATCCTGTAATTGGCTTTGACTTGACTGTTTGAATTTTACCAGATATTTTAATTTTACTAGATGAAGTAAAAACTAACAAATCTGTCGCTTTTTGCAAAAAAAAATATATATAATATGTTTGCGTTATATTTGAGGCAAGTAAAAGAGGATAGATCGAATCGATCGACAGGTGACCTTCTAGCGTACGTGACATATATCTGGGGTGAGGCTATCGATAAGCGAGGTGAGTCTTTGGCTATCAGCCTTAACATCGCCAAGGCTTTGATAGGGTCTGGCACATAAGTCTTCTCTCCAAGCTTCCTGGATACGGTCTGCCTACTCAGTTCTGTGCCTGAGTGGCTGACTTTCTGCATGAACGTCAACGGACGGCGACGGATGTAGTTCGCAGTTCATGTCAGTGAATGCCGGTGTTTCTCAGGACTCCGTCCTATCCCCTACACTCTTTTTGCTGCATTCAATGATTTAATTCCTCTTGAGAATATTCATTGCTATGCAGACGATAATACAGTGCATGCGGGATATTTTGGATACGCAGCCGTTGGACAGGTAGAAACCAAAGAGAAACGGGAGAATCTTGTCATTGAACTCAATAAAGATTTGGACTGCATTTCGGAATGCGGTACCAAGAACTTGGTTGAGTTCATTGCCAAGAAAGCCCAGGTCTGCGCTTTCACGGTAAAACTAACGTTTTTTCACGCCTGAGCAAATGTGCTTGTTATACATGACGTAAGTACGGTGATGCTTTGGATAGGTTACAGCGGCGCGCGATCCGCATTATTGTCGATAAGGAGGTGACTAAACACCTCGAGCCTCGCTAATTACGCCGTGATGTAGCGTTATTAAGCGCGTTTTATCGACTATACCTTGGCGCATGTTTTGAGGAGTTATTGTCTCTTAACCTACCTTCCCCTTTCCTACAGAAGTCTACACGCGCTGGCTTACGTTGCCACCGACTTACTGTGAACTACTATTCCCACTGTTCCAACGTGAACAAAGAAATTTGGTAACTCATTTCTTTGTCAGGCTATCCGTAAATGGATTACTTTGCCCTCTTACGTGTGTGAAGTAGCAATTCTGCAGGCCGGCAAAATGAGGATAGCTGGTGTGGCAAGTAATACTGCTGTACAGGTATCTTCGCGTCTAGACTCCTCCGTCATCTAACCTCTGGTGGAGTAATTTCTTGAGCCTATTTATAAAAAAAAATCTATAGCAAAGATTTTTTTTTTATTTTTGCTACAAAGGTGTCATATCTGAGGAGTACCATGGATTATGCAGAACTTTGGCTACAGAAATAAGCCAATCTAATCGTTTGCCTTCAAAAACCATTTTTGATGACTCATCATGTGCAAGCGAGTCAAGTTTTTTATATAGAAATATTATCGGCCGCCAATGACTTCATCCGCTTTAACTTTAATAAACATTTTTAAACTAGAAATTTTAGATTGAAATACTACTGCATCCGAAATATCGAACCTACAGTTTCTCGGTAAACGTACAT